CCCAAAGGATCTATTTAATAGAGAGGCGAGAAGTCTGATAGATAAGTAATCACCTTTCTGTCCTCCTTTTAATTTCCCTTCCTGAATCTGGACTGGCTTTAGTGACTTGCTTGACCAATTACATGCAGCAGAAATGATGTTCTGGAACTTCCAAAGCTAGGTCATAATAAGTCTGTGGTAGGATGAATAATGGCCCCTGAAGATACCCCAAATTCTTATTCCCTAACCTGTAAATATGTTACATTATATGGCAAAAAGAATTTTGCAAATGTAATTAAGATTTGGAGAAAGTGATATTATCCTGGATTATCCAGGTAAAACCTAAATATAATCATGAGGGTTCTTATAAGAGGGAGGTTAAAAGGTCAATGAAGATGATGATGAAGGAGCAGAGATTTTAGTGATGAGTCCGGGAACCAAGGAATCCCAAAAGATGAAAGAAGCAAAGAACGTATTCTCCCCTGAAGTCTCCAGAAGGACAGAGCCTTGCTGACACTTTGATTTTGGTCCCTTAAAGACTTATTTTAAACTTTGGACTTCGAGAACTCTAAGAGAATATGTTGTTTTATGCCACTGTATTTTACAGAAGCAATAGAAAACTAATACAGTCTGGACATGGAGGCTCATGACTGTGATCCCAGCACTTTGGGAGGCTGAGCTGGGCAGATCACCTGAGGTCAGGAGTTTGAGACCAGCCTGGCCAACATGGTGAAACCCCAGTGCTACTAAAAATATAAAACTTAGCCAGGCACAGTGGTGCACGCCTATAATCCCAGCTTCTCAGGAGGCTGAGGCAGGAAAATCGCTTGAACCTGGGAGATGGAGTTGCAGTGAGCCAAGATCGCACCACTGCGCTCCACCTTGGGCAACAGAGGAAGACTCTGTCTCAAAAAAAATTAAAAAAAGAAAAAAAGAGAATTTCTACTTTCTCACATAATCCTGAACAATGGGCTGAAAAAAAGAGGCTAATCTTGTTAAAGGTCCAAGATCTCTAGTGAACAGGGATTCCATAGCAAATCTCAATTTATTTTTAAGTGTTCTAGATATTCAATTTAGTATAAACCCTTTATCTTCCAGTCTTTTGTTTTGTCAAAGTCCTCTTACGCTATATAGCAAGATCTCAAAACAAAGCTCTTCACCCTACCTTAAACAATCACAAAAAATGGAGGACTACAAGATTAAAGTTTAGAATTATTTGGTTAATGTAGATAAATGGTTAAAAAAAAAAAAAAAAAAAAAGTCAAAAGGACACAATACCACTCATATAGAGGAACCAAAAAATGCAAGCTAATTAAGATCTAACATTGATAAAAAAAACTGCTCGGTTCACCTCAATACATCTGTTGTTATTTGCTAAGTGTAAAAAGAATCTCATTTTTTAAATATATTAAGTACACATTTAACAAAAAATATTCCCTAAGAAGCTCCTTTTTTTCAAAACATATCTCTCATTGTACCTCTCCAATAGCAAGTTCTTGTTTCTCTGTGTAACTCCCTGATAAGGATTAATTACACCATCTTAAATAAGTGTGGAAGCCAGCCTCCAAGATGTGCCCCCAATGATTCCCACTCCCTTGTATTCACACCTTGTGTAGTACTCTCCCACATTGTGTCAGGACAAAAGAGTTGAACTGTCAGACTGTCACTTCTAAGACTGTTATAAAAGTCTGTCTGTGGCTTCCAGCTTAGGTGCTCACAGGTGCAGTCTTGCAAACACACTCACACATGCACTCGCACACACACTCGCGAGTGCTCTCTCTCTCATCACTTGCTCGGGAGGAAACCCACTGCCATGTAGTGAGAATACTCAGGCAGCCCTGTGGAGGACCACACGGGAGGAAATTGAGACATCTAGCCAACGGCCATGGGAGTGAGACTTCTTGGAAATGTATCCTCCAGCCCCAGTCAAGACTTCAGATAATGTCACCTCAGCTGAGAGCTTGATTTCAACTTCATAAGATCCTGAGCCAGAAATACTCAACTAAGATGCTACAGGATTCCTGAGCCTCCGAAATTATGGGCTAATACATGCTTGTTTTAAGCCACTGTGTTTTAGGATAATTTGTTATACCACAATGGACAGCTAATACAATGAACACTGTCTATCTTTCAATACCAAATTGCTAGATTTTAAAAGCCTTTAAAAATAATTATAAATGGAAATACTAATTATAAAAATTGGGAAGAAAATTTGTTTTAAAAATGTTGGCTAACATTGAAAGGCAACTGTAATACTGTCAGCTTGCCAGTATTACTTGTAAAAACATGAACAATGCACTATCAGCAGAATATGGTCTGTTTATGGAAGAAGAAGCTGAGCAAGTAAACTGAAGGTGCAATATCAACTTCTTTTAAAATTGGGGAGGAAATCAGTTAGTAATTTTAAAAAATCACAATATCCTATTTAACTATGATAAGACATCCCACAAGGTCTGCCTTATCTATTACAAACTCATTCCAAAGCTTTATCTCATCACAGATTATATCACATGCCTACTGATAAACATATAAGAAAGATAAAGGGCAAACGTACCAAACTTCAACAGCAGATTCCACTGCCATATTAAAGCATGGATGATTTTTTTTCAGTAATGTTTCCATTCCAAATCCAAAACATTTCGTTAGTTTATACAAGCACCCTTTCTAAAGACATTTAAGATTTTCTATGGCAAGAAATAGCCCTTTTGATAGAATTAATTTTGTTAGAAAGTACACTTAGTAGACAACACTTAATACATTAGTTGAGTATTGAAAAACATCATTCAAAAAGCAACAATAGAAGAAAACATGGGAGTTTTTTATTTATCTGACTGGAAAAAAAAATGTTGATTTCAGCAATGGAATGAGCTGTATGCATTCTCAACATAACAAAATCCCTTATACCTTAAATGATTATTGAATAGGTAATTTCCTAAGTAATGATTCCAGTGATCTCCATAATAACTATATGTATTGATACTGAAAGCAGTAAGTGAACACCAAGACTATACTAACAAAAAAGCAGCATCTGTGTCATTTGATTCATAGGACAATCGTTCGTCATCAACATCAGCAAAAATCGCTGATTTAAACTTTGATGTTCTCTAGCTTATAAATAGGAGAGATAAGCATCTAACCATTGTTTCAAATATCCTTGACTGTTTCTCCTGGGCAAAGAAGGCAATTTAAAGTACTAACTTCTTTCTCATATTAGTTACATAACTAAGTTTAACTGATGTTAATGATCTCCACTGATTAAAGTGTTTAGGTCCTTTTCAGAACATTTAAAACCATATTGAATTTAAAATATTACCTTTGTTAGGAAATGTAGCATCGCTACTGCAATATTGCTGACATGTACAAAAATAACGTATGAGAAAAAATTTTTTCAGTCACATTGCGGACATGCTTTTCAAGAACTGCCATAAACTATATTCATAGGGCCCTACAATCTTGTAACTTGTTGACAATGCAGAATTTCCAAGAAATTACTTGGAAAAGGTAAAATGTGTGTTTGAATAGTTTTGTCAGTGGAGATTCAAAAATTAACGTTCTAGTACATGATTGACTATATTATTTTCTAAGGAGCACATTTTCAGAATTGACTACTTTTAAACTGCATACTGATTCCACACATAGACTACAAATGTCCTAGTGTTTGATTATGATTTCATATACCATCATGATTACATATTTAATAACGGAATTGATAGGATGTTACATTTTCCTATAAAAGCACTGTGGGTAAACAATGTCTGGAATCAATCATCCACTATAAATTGGTTCACCATTCCCTGAACTGAGGGAGGTAGGGAAATGTGATTAAAAGCCACAACTAAAAGAAGTTTCTGAAGTAGTACAGATAACGTCATGCTTACTTGAGGTAAATAATTCTTTCCTCATTCCTGCACATCAGCTAAAGATACACTTGCAAGTGTCTCTGGCAAATCAAATGCCATAATCCGAATCAATGTGCTCTAAACTTAGGAATCTATGAGATGTGAACATACCTACCAAGTTTAGAAGGGGGAGTAAACTTTAAAACTTTCAAACACATCAGAATGTAATACAAACTGAAGCAATGAGTTTTGTTTACATAACTGTAAGTGACAGAAATATTTTAAGACAACCATTTTAGTTGTTTGCTCCTTTCATCCTTTTGATTTTCTGAACTTTTAGCCTTTTCACCTAGACTCAAATTCTGACCGACCCCATTCTGGACTTGTTTTTCAAATATCCTATTTTAACATGTTAGCTTAAAAACAGTTTTGGTTTCATCGTTCCAAATTACTTTTGAGCAGAAGTCTGACTTTTACTGCAGAGCTACAGATTTTCAAAAAATATACTTCCTTATTTATTTCATTCTTTTAATCTCTGGGAAAAAACAAAACTGGAGTTTCCCTTGAATTTATCTTTCCATTTCTGGCAAAAACTTTTCCTCTGGCTGCTCTAATTAATGCAACCAGACGTGTGTGGAAACAAGCAGCTGAGAGCATCCCCGACTTTTGCAGCTACACCCCTTCTTTTGGCTACCCACCCATAGATCTTCATTTGATAACCGTTCAAAAAGTTTCTTCCTGCCAGGCGGGTTTGTAGCACTTTCTCGAAGCAGGCACGGCGTGCCACCTGCGCGGGTGCACGCTCGCTCGAAAGCAAGCAGCAAAGGCTAAGGGACAGGAGGGCTGGGGAGGGGAGGCACCGGGCAAATCAAACAGAATCCCAACAATGTCACCTGGCATTTTAGGCCGAAGCTCCGGATTCCGAGGCTGGTGAGGACCTAGCCAGGCGCCGGCCTCAACTGCCTGGCGCCACTCGCGCCCGTCCCACCTGCCTGGGGGAAACTCGGGCTGCGGAAGGTACCCCCGCCCCCAGCCGTCCCAGGCGCGGGGCCAGGCGGGCGAGGGGGGCAGATGGGGGGCGGCGGCGGGGTTCCAAGGCCGAGGGCCGCGGAGGGCTCCCGGTGGGCTGGCGGCAAGCGGAGGGCGCTGGGGCCCCCGGGCTCGCCCCCCCACCCCCCTTACCTTGGGCGATGGCAATGGACTCGAAGCGGTGCAGCTCTTTGAGCAGGCAGCTCCTCTCCGTGGAGTGCAGGCTATAGATGAAGTCGCGCGCGCCCTGCGCCGTGTTCAGCGCCTCCATGGGCTCCTTCTTGGGGTGAGTGCCCAGCCGCCGGGGACCGCCCGGGAAGCCGCCGAGGGGCGCGAGCGCCAGCAGCCCCCGCCCGCAGCAGCTCCAGGACGGCGGGCGGGGCGCGGCGGCGGCCGGGCCCGGCCTCAGGCTGCGCGCGGTCCGGCTCCTCAGCAGCGGCAGCAGCCGGGACATGACGAGCTGAGGAGCGGGGACCCCCGCGGCCTTCCGCGAAGGCGGTTTCTGGCGCGGCTGAGGGGAAAAGTAGCTGGGCTCGGCCCGACCCCGCCCCAAGGTCCTCCTGCCAGGCAGCCGAGGCGCCGGGCACCATGCAAACCGCGGGCCCGTGCGGCTCTCGCCTCCTGTTCCGTCCCTCTGCCCTTCCAAAAGGCCCGCGGCAGCTCCGGCCCCTCGGATGGAAAAAACTTTCTCTGAGACGGCCGGGCCCGGACAGCGCCCGTAGAGGGCGGGAGGGAGGTGCGGGCGGGCGCCTCCCGGCTGAGGTGGGGCGGCGCGGGCGGGCGGACGCGCGAGTGTGTGTGTAGATCAGTCTGATCTTCCAGAGGGATGAGTCAGCCACGCGCCGCCCTCCTCCAGCGCCGCCCTCCTCTCTGGCCGGCTTTCTCACCCTATAGCCTCCCCACGTCCCCACTCTGTAGGGTTCCCGAGCCCTCAAAGCAGCCGCGCTCCCGGACCGCAGCCGACGCCGCTACCCCTAGCGGCAGCACAAGGAGGAAGGGGGCGGGGCGAAGCGGAAGGAGGAGGAGTGTAAGCGGGGCTGCGCAGGCGCAGTCTGCATGCTCTCGGGCCGCGCTCCCGCCTGGGGGAGGAGCGCGCACACGCGTCCCCTCCCCCCCTGGTGCTTGAAGATGGAAGGAGGTGGGGTGCGCCACCCTGTGCTGGCGTTAAATCCACAGGTCGGAATAGGGAAAAAGAGCTCTGGACCACTCGCCCGCCTGGGTAGTGCAGCTGCCACCCGGCCCCCCACCGGGGGCCAACCCCATCTGGAGCTCGTTCTGAAAGGTGCCGCAGCTTGCGGCCCTGCTCTAGCCAGGCGGAGAGCTGCGCTGCCGCCCTAGCCCCGGCGGGGTCGCGGCGCTCTGCTCAGAAACGCAGAGCCGCAATTGCGCCCTTTGCCAAGTCAGCGCCCACCGCCGCCTCGGCCGAGCAGGCCGGCTCTGAGGCTCCCGCTCTGGGCGCTCCAAAGAGAAAGAGAAGCCAGTTCCATCTCTGCCCAAGGAGGATCTGAGACTGAACCCTTGACACGAGAGCAGTCTTCCCCGTTCAGATTCCAGCCGCTGGTAATGCAAATTGTTAATGCTAGAGCCAGAGGCAAGAATGTCAGACCTTTCCTAGCGGTTGCTTGTGAGTTTTTTTTGGTTTTGTTTTTTTTGTTCTCCGTACTAAAGCGGCAAGAATTCTTTGGTTGTTCACGATTTCCCCTGGTCCAGGTCCTAGGCATCTTTCAAGGCCCAGGTCAAAGGGTCTCCTAACTTCATTAAGTTATCCCTAATCTCTTCCTAAGAGATACCTCTGCTTTATCTGAACCTGTCTAATGACATTTAGGCACCTTAGAGAATAAATCCACTTAATAAATCTGCTCAAGCGTAATCAAGATCTAAATCCCATCCTATAATGAACAGTGCTGCTCTCAGCCCGGAAACTTGTGTGTAGTAAATGTGCTACGTGTTAGTAGAATATAAAACTGAATAAACGGAGGATTGTTACCACTAAAGCCGCCTACTTTTCTAACTCTGGTTCTGAAAGTGAGTCCCTGAGCTTCTTAGACATGGGAAATAGTGGACCCAACTTCACACCTCCTGAGTCAGAACGTAGGCATTGGATCCAGTCATGTGGGTTTTAGCAAGCCCTCCTGTTAATAACAACACACACGGCCGGGTGCGGTGGCTCACGCCTGTAATCCCAGCAATTTAGGAAGCTGAGGCGGGCGGATCACCTGAGGTCGGGAGTTCGAGACCAGTCTGATCAACATGGAGAAACCCCATCTCTAATAAAAAATACAAAATTAGCTGGATGTGGTGACACGTGCCTGTAATCCCGGCTAATCGGGAGGCTGAGGCAGGAGAATCGCTTGAACCCAGGAGGCGGAGGTTGCAGTGAGCTGAGATCGCTCCATTGCACTCCAGCCTGGGCAACAAGAGTGAAACTTCGTCTCAAAAAATAATAATAATAATAATAACACACACGGAAGCTTGAGAACCACTGATCTTTCTTAAACATGGAAAGAAACTGCTTCTTTTTTAAATTTCAGGGCGATGCCTCTGTGATGTAATAATGACAATTAGGATGATCTCTGTTGAAATGAAAGCTTTTTGAGTGCAGAACCTGTATCTTCCTTGTCTTTGAAACCCCCTTCATCCCCTAGTATGCATTGGAATCCTCTGCACAGTCGTTTCAGTCTCGGTTTCATGGAAGTACCCCCAAATCCCCCCACAGTTTCCCTACCCCCAAGAGATTCTGATTCATTGGGTTGGGGCGTGGGAAGTGAGGTTTGAAAAAACTCTTCAGTAAGAACCCACTTCTCAACAACCTCCAGAATAGCAGTTTAGTGTATAGATTCCAAAGACAGATTGTGGAAAGTTTGATCCCTGGATCAACCATTTTCTAGCTATATATTAGCATCAGATTGTTATAGTAGTGATCCCCAGTGAATTACACCCTCTATTATCTGCTGCATCGTGTATTCCACTTCTACATGGACTGTGGGCTTAGCTATTTGACTTGTTTTGGTCAATAAATAGGACATCACAAACCTGATATGATATATGTTTGCTTATTGGGGGTTGCTGTAATGCTTTTGCTATATTACTATAGAAAATTATATTATAAAACAAGAGAAATTAAAATGTAGAAGCAAGTCACTTATAAGACATGTTACACAGAATGAATGGATATGTTTTGAACATAGGTAAAAAGGATGGAACAGGCCAGGCATGGTGGCTCATGCCTGTAATCCTATCACTTTGGGAAGCTGAGATGGGCAGATCACAAGGTCAGGAGTTTGAGACCAGCCTGCCCAACATGGTGAAACCCTGTCACCACTAAAAGAAATACAAATTAGTGGAGCATGGTGGTGCGTGCCTGTAGTGCCAGCTACTCAGGAGGCTGACGCAGGAGAATCGCTTGAACCCAGTGAGCTGAGATTGTGCCGCTGCACCACAGCCTGAAAAAAAGAGCAAGTCTCTGTTTCAAAAAAAAAAAAAAAAAAAAAAAAAAAGGATGGAACAAATGACAATGCTGCTTTAGATAAAAAGAGGCAGAAAGGGCCAGGTATGGTGGCTCATGTCTGTAATCTCGGTACTTTGGGAGGCCAAGGCAGGCAGATCGTGAGGTCAGGAGTTTGAGACCAGCCTGGCCACCATAGTGAAACCCCGTCTCTACTAAAAATACAAAAATTAGCCTGGTGTGGTGGCACACGCCTGTAGTCCCAGCTACTCAGGAGGCTGAGGCAGGAGAATTGCTTGAACCCGGGAGGCGGAGGTTGCAGTGAGCTGAGACCATGACCACTGCACCCCAGCCTGGGTGACAGAGTAAGATTCTGTGTAAAAAATAAATAAATAAATAATAGAGGCAGAAAGACAAAGGGACTTTAAGTATTAATAAGGTACAGATCATACTACCTTCAGCTTGGCAGCCATGTCATCCCTATATTGCACACCTACTGATGATACCCATTGTAGCCCTATTATGGCCTCACGTAATTTTATTTCCCAAGAAAAGCAAATAAACTCCCAGCTACAAAACCGACTAATGCCAGCTACCATTATAACCAGACACACTTGCCCCTCAGCTCCCTAACAGAACAGATGTATTTTGAGCCCAGGCCCCTTCAGTCTGCCGAATCACCTTACTTACTCTCCAGTCTGGTCCTTGTAACCACACTATGTGCTGAGAAGACTGGATGGTGGAGAGGAATAAGACATGAGAACATTGCGTAAAACAGAATTTAGGTGCTTCAGCCTATCCTAAACTTACCCATCTATGCTTTCTCTTTCCCCTTGCTTCTCACTGTTTTATGTTGGTTGGTAAACTCTTCTCATTATTATTGCTGCTCTTTGGGTAAACATATTATGCCAAAACTCAGGAGTTTAAATAGCCAGCTTATTTTGCTCTTAATTTTGAGGCTCAGAAATTTGGGAAGAACTTACTTAGACAGTTAATTTATTGAGTCATTTATGTAGTGTCAATCAGATTTCAACACAACTGCTGTCATTTGAAAGTTCAGCTGGGCTGAATAGCTAAGATGGCTCACTCACATGGCTGGCTGGAAGCTCAAATGGGGCTGAGAACCAGAGCACCTTCACACAGCCACTCCAACATGGTGAACTTCTCACCTGGCAGCTGGCTTCCCCCAGAGCGAATGTCTGAAAAGAACCAGCCTTGTGGCCTTTTCTGACCTACCTATCCTTGGAGTCACACAGTATTACTTCCACTGTATTCTACTGGCTACAAACCAACCACTAGGACCAGCCCATGTTTAAGGGAAGGGGATATAGACCCCACATGTTAATAGGAGTAATGCCAAAACATTTGAGGATACATTTTAGAACCACCATATAAGCAATGTGATTTAAGCTTCTTAGTTTGGTCTATAAGCTTATCTGTTTCATGACCTGTAGGTGGTAGACATGGAGGCTGCCATTGCATCAAGGTAATTTTCCACATGGGAAAATTGCCTTGAAGACATTTACCTTTTGGAATCCAGCTGCTGCATTGAGAAGTCTGACATATCCTGCTGGAGAGACCAAACGGAGGAGGAGGCCCCAGCCAACAGCCCCAGCTAACTGCCAGCCAGGCATGACACCATCTCGGACCATCCAGGCTCAGTTAACCCCCAGATGACAGCATTGTTGTTAAAAGCACTAGGTCTAGACCCAGACTGCCTGGATTTGAGTCCTTATACTGTCATTTATTAGCTGTGTCACCTTGGGCTGATCAGCCTTTCCGTGGCTGACGATCTGTTTGATGGGAATAAGAACATGTTCAGTTTGCTCACCTGTTAAATACAGATAAGGGCACCTGCTTTGTAATGCTATAGTGAAACCAAATTAATTCATGTAAAGCATTTCAAACAGCACCTGATGCATGACAAGCATGCAGTAAATACTAGCTATTATTATCTAAATGCCCACAGACCTCTCAAATCTCTGGGATTATGTCTTTGGACCCTCATTTGAGAAACGCCCACCCAGCTGTCTGTCATTTAATACATGGATGTGTATTAACTGGATCCCCTGACCACTTCCCTCTCTGAACACTTGAATATCCTAAATATGAATAAATAAAGGAGCTAGGGAGAGAGATTTGGGGAACATTTATGGGGCTGTGGAGAAGTATAGGACAGAGCAGGTCTAGATGCAGGTGGCAAAGGGGAGGTTCCAAGGAAATATGATGGTACTAAAGAGGAAATGCTAGCAGGCTGGAGAGGGTCACAGAAATGGAAGACAGAAGGAAGGAAAGCCCAGAAGGCAAACTTGGCCTGGGTTCAGCCCAGACTGTTCTTTGCTTTTAAGGAGGACAACCATCATACCTCAGTTAACAATCACAGTTTCCTCCTCATGAAAAATTGCTGCTGAATCATCAGTCCATGGTAAGCTGCATCGTGTAAATACACTCCAGAGCTCCTGACTTCCCTGTTGCTGGCAGGGCACACAGCTGTTTGCTGCCTGCCATTGATGATACATTATACACCCAGCTACTCTGCGTTAAAATGCTTGAAATT